GTGGCTGCCTTTCCTCATGGCCAGTCCTCTTTTACGCACCACTACTCTAGGTCCAGCATTCTTTTTTATTTTTTATTGAGATGGTGTCTGGCTCTATCACTGAGGCTGGAGTGCAGTGGTATGATCTTGGCTCACTGCAACCTCCATCTCCTGGGTTCAAGCAATTCTCCTGCCTCAGCCTCCTGAGTAGCTGGAATTACAGGTGTCCACCACCATGCCAAGCTAATTTTTGTATTTTTAGTAGAGACGGGGTTTCACCATGTTGGCCAGGCTGGTCTCAAACTCCTGATCTCAGGTGATCCACCTGCCTCAGCCTCCCAAAGTGCTGGGATTATAGGAGTGAGCCGCCATGTCAGGTCATGGTCCAGCATTCTCAAAGCTGGAGGGTGTCCCTCCTCATTCCAACTAATTGCAACTCTTGGGCGATCAAAGAGTCTTGCTTATTGTGTTTGGTAGTGGTTTCTGCCGAGACACTTGGGGAACGGGTTCTCCAGAATCAGAGCAGCTGGGTTTGTAAAGGGCAATTTTTGATGGCACAGCAACTTGCTGAGGGAACAGCAAGAATTCTTGAATTCTTCACTCACTCTGAACCAGGGTCTGAAGGTGGATCATGTGTACAGTGACCACATAATTTGTGGTCCGAGCTGAGATAATTTTGAGAATGAATGGAAGTGCTATGAATAATGACACCAGTGCAACAGGGGTCCCTGAGATTGCCGTTCTGTTCTTCCTCACGTGTGCCTGATCTTTTTAGGGGTAGTGTTCAGTGATTAGTCTGACAGTTTCTTCTTCCTTTTTCTTTTTTGGGTTTAAAGACAGAGTCTCACTCTGTCACCTAGCCTGGATTGCAGTGGCACAATTATAGCTCACTGCAGTCTTGAATTCCTGGGCTCAAGCAATCCTCTCATCTCAGCCTCCTGAGTACTTGGGACTACAGGCAAGCCACCACCACACTCAGCTAACTTTTAAAAATTTTTTGTAGAGATGGGGTCCTGCTATGTTGCCCAGGGTGGTCTTGAACACTTCAGGACTGAGCTCAAGCAATCCTCCCACCATGGCCTTTCAAAGTGCTAGGATTATAGGTGTGAGCCACAGCACTCAGCCTGACGGTTTTCTTATGTTCTCCCAGGAAAACCTAGGAAGTTCTCATGTGAATCCCATGCCTGCTGAACTGCTCAGATAAAACAAAAATAGTAGCTAACATTTATATAGCACTTACCATATGTTAAATACTGTTCTGTGTGTTTTGCATTTGTTAGCTTATTCAATCTTCCCAATCCCGTGAGACTGGTATTCTATTTTTTTTTTTTTTTTTTTTTTTTGAGACGGAGTCTCGCTCTGTTGCCCGGGCTGGAGTGCAGTGGCCGGATCTCAGCTCACTGCAAGCTCCACCTCCCGGGTTCACGCCATTCTCCTGCCTCAGCCTCCCGAGTAGCTGGGACTACAGGCGCCCGCCACCTCGCCCAGCTAGTTTTTTGTATTTTTTTAGAGACGGGGTTTCACCGTGTTAGCCAGGATGGTCTTGATCTCCTGACCTCATGATCCGCCCGTCTCGGCCTCCCAAAGTGCTGGGATTACAGGCTTGAGCCACCGCGCCCGGCCCTTGGTATTCTATTTTTGTTTCCATTTTACAGATGGAAAAATAGGAACACAGAGGTTAAACAGCTTGTCTAAGCAGCAGAGCCAGGATTTGAACCTAAGAGGCTCCAGAGCCTGTGCATATGAACACTGCACCGTGCTGCCTCTGCCCCGCAGCCTTATAATTTAGTTCCAACCAACATTTATCGAGGACCTGCTATGTGCCTGGATGTGTGCTGGGTACTAGTGGTGCCAAGTCTAATGGACATGATGCCTTCTATGGTTCAGTTCCCTATCAGGGAAGATGAATGAGGCCTGCCCTTGTACTGGGAAAATAATCTCTAGGGTGTCCTGTGGGCAAGGCCAGCTGTACCATCATGCAACATGCAGATTTACATTCAGCTCACAGGTTATCGTATTTGGATGGCTACTGCTGAATGACCTTAGTTCTCAGTTCTCAGACTTCTGCGTTATGGGTTGTCCTTTGAACCCATAATTAAAATCTTTCAATCAGAGGAAATGCTCCCAAAGCAATGTGCACTATTTATGAAACTACCAAGGGAATGTTCTCAGTAGACAAGGAAGGTTAATGAGAACACACTGGTGGCTTCGTTTGTGACTGCCTCTTGGCAACCCCATGCTGTTACCCCCATCTTGTTTTAGAGGTACACCAAACATCTTGTTTTGGGGACTTTGCAGAAAGAAGAGGGGAGCAGACTGTCCAGGGACAACAGTTTTTCCATTTATTTCCTTAAGAAGTACGATGTATAGGATGGCGATGTGCAATTCTGACTACCTTACTATGGTTTCTTCTAAGAATTCATGATGTTGAAACACAGGCGTTTGAATAAAACAAGGGGAAGGTTTTCATCTTGGCGAGGTACAAGAGCTTTTTTTTTTTTTTTTGGCACAAGCACATCTGTGAGAAACAGAGCGCTTATTGTTCAGCATATCAGGGCTCTGTGCTGGTCAAGGAAATGCTGATGAAGTACTTATGCTCAGTGGAGGGGTGAGGAGTGGGAGGTCCTCATGAGATGGGTTTATTTAGCCTGCCCTTCCAGACAGCCTTCCAACCGTGTAAAGACGATGGTGTATGTGTGCATGCCTATGTGTTTAAGATTAGAAAAATTACAGAAATGTACAAGAAGCCCTCGTGCCCTGACTGTCCCTAGTTCATGGAATTGTTTGCCTGCTTTGGTTCACATCGTGCTGCACTATGTACAAAGCGCACGAACATACCCTGTCTCATCCAAGATAGTTTTATTTGAAAAACTTTGAAGGAAGTTAGGATGTTAAAACAGTGTGTTTCCAAATAGGGCATTTCTCAAGCACGGCTTTCCCTAAATGAAGGAGTATGTAGTGTGTTGAAGCTAACTTGTTATCAAACCAAGTTGACCATTGTTCATTGAGTGCCCATCTGATGAGGGTCCGTGTATTGAGCACTCGGCAGGGGTTGGGGATTGGCTGGTGATTAAATGGATCATACCACCTTATACTGACTCACGGAGGTGGGTGATCATTAGCCATTTTACAGATGGGGAGAGTGAGACTCAGAGAGAGTAGACAACTTTTTCTAAAGTAGTAGAACCAGGATCCAAGCCCAAGCTGGTCAGGCAGCAAAAACTAGACATGGGACTACCATGTTTTCTCCTGCACATGCTGAAGGGACCTTTAGATGAAGTTCCCACAGATAGGTTCACATTCAAATTAATGAACTTTACACCTGGGACTGGAAATTCCTAGAGGATTGGGTAAAGTGTGTGTGTGTGTGTGTGTGTGAGAAAGAGAGACAGACATTTGCTAATACAGATTAAACATAGTCATAAATCTTAATAGATTTATTCTCCACACTTTATTTTATTTTATTTTTGAGGCAAGGTCTAACTCTGTCGCCCAGGCTGGAGTGAAGTGGTGTGATCATGGCTCATTGCAACTTGGACCACCCCAGGCTCAGGAGATCCTCCTTAGTAGCAAGGACTACAGATGGGCACCGTCAAGCCCAGCTAATTTTTTTATTTTTTATTGTAGAGACAAAGTTTTGCCATGCTGCCTAGGCTGGTCTTCAACTCCTAGGCTCAAGCAACCCTCCCACCTTGTCCTCCCAAAGTGTTAGAATTACAGGCATGAGCCATCTCACCTGGCCCTCCACAGTTTATTATAACATTTTTCATACGGATAACAAAGTTGAATGAATTATATAGTGAACACATATACAATGGAGTGTCTGCTATTAATATTATACTAAAGCGATTTTTATCTAGCTATTATCAATCATCTATTTATCTCTCTAATTTGTCTATTCATCTATCCATCTATGAGTCTATATTTTTGATGCGTTTCAAAGTAAATTGCAGACATCAATACACTTAACCCTAAGTACTTCATAATGCACATATATAACTAAAGTTTAATATATATTTACAGTTTTTTTTTTTCTTTGGATGTGGGATGTATATGCAGTGAAATGCACTGGTCTTGAGTAAATATTTACAGAGTTTTGATGAATACTGTGTAACTCAAGTTTCTCTCAAGATGTAAAATGTAACTATCACCCCAGAAGGTTCCCTCACACCCTTTCCCAGTCAATTTCTGCCTCTCTCCAGCCCCACCCCTCCAGAGACAACCACTGTTCTGACTTTTCCACTAACGACTCTTTTGTGTGAGGCTTCTTCCACTTAGCATAACGTTTTGACATTTATCCATATTGCTGTGGGTAATGTTGTTTGTTCCTTTTACTTGCTGATTGATATTTCATTATATGAATATTCTATAGTTTGTTTATTCATTTTTTTGTTGATGGACTTTTTCTAGTTTTTGGATTTCATGGATAAAGCTGTTCTGAATATTATTGCATATTGTAAATATATGTTTTTGTTGCTCTGGGTAAATGCCAAGAAGTAGAGTTGTTGGGACAAAGGGTAGATACATGGTTATTTGTTTAAGTAACTATCAAAACTTGGCACAGTGGCTCCGCCTTTCCAGTCCCACCAACAATGTATGGTATTGCTCCATGCCCCTGTCGGTGTTTAGAGTTATCTGTCCTTTTTAATTTAGCCATTCTGGTAGGTGTCTAGGTAGAAAATTGATGTTGATGACAATGGCAATAGTTATGATAGAGTGATAGATACCTCTCTGTAGCAAATTGCTGTCGATATTCCTCAGATTTCACTTGGAAGCTCATCATTTTGGCTATTGGATCTGCTCTTAACTCTCTTAAGTACCCACTCTAATGTTTTCTGATTGACAGATGGAAGTGCTCCCGGGCAGTACTGATTTTCAGGCTAATGCTCCTACTACAATCAGCTCACTTAGGGCTTCTTTGTGCAGTCTGGATGTCAGCTTTAACCCTTTGACAGTTCTTCGCTTTACTTCTTTGTCAGACAAACTTCTTAAGCCAGATTGCAATTTCTCTTCTTTTTCAGAGTTTTCACCTGGCAAAACGTTCATGATTTAAATGTCAAAAGAGGCAGACTCCAAATAAAATGCTGAACAAACAATTTTGAGGACTTAGACCTTTCTTTTCTGCCATTACTACTTCTCAAGCTGCTTCTGATTCCCAGAGAATGGGATGGAAAAATGAGGTAGGGGTTGGAAGGACAGGCCTCTGCTCTTACGTGTGCAGCTATGCTTCTGGGTCTCTTCATTCGTGTTGATTGGATGCCTTGAATTTCTGGGGCCTCAGTTTCCTCACTTGTAGAACAGAGCGGTTGGAAGAAATGGCATTTAGGACTTTCTTTCTGAAATTTCAAAACTAACTTTCTATGTTGTTAGAAGTTAAGAAATTTCTTAAAGCTTGGAGGTGAAGATACTGCTTTAAAAAATTATAAGTAATTCTTTAATATTTCCTACACCTTCTCCAATGGCTTAATAATAACCTGATATATTCATGGAAACAGGTCTCACTTTTATATTTTGATTTAAGGGTTTCCTTAATTATGCCATTTACTGTTTTCAGATGCTGCAGTTTCACTCCGGTAGGATTCAGTCTCAAACTGCAGAGGTACTTGGTAAGCTGGTATTTATTTTACATTTGTTCTGGGATTCTTTCAGACAGACTGGATGTTTGCACTGGACTCATTGACTTTTCCCTCACCACTTACATTGTCATTCTATGCTATTCAGTTGTATTTTATAATTGGGTAGTTGCAGTGATGAGAAAGAAAAGTATGAGAAATGATGTTCAGGTGGGCTGCAGTACTCTGTCTGTAGGCAATCATTGTGAAGCAGGAAAGAAGAGGATGGGAATAGCTGGAGAGAATTGGCTTAAGGGGAAATAGCCCAAATCTCAGTTAAAACAAGATAAACGTGGAAGAGATAGAATCTCCTGATAAAGGTGTGTTCCCTTGCACTGCCACTAATGCGCGGGAGCATTAAATGTGCGGGAGATTTTCTGGGGTTGTTATTCCCTGCAGTCTCAGGAAGAGAAAGTATCCTGGTCACAGAGGAAACCTTCAACTACAGACAAACCACAGTCCCCAAATCCTTTCAAGCTATAAGGTTTCAAGCACGAAATTCTTGAGCAAACACACCAGGTGCCTCTCTGCATTGATTGTGATTTTTGGTGCTAAACAGAGAGCATTGCAGATGATGCTGAAGGTCAAATGAAGGTGGAGAAACCGCAAAACAGCACGACGCACCACCCAACTGCAAGCTAATTGGGAAGGAAATGGTTTCAAACTGACAGACTGTGGCCTGATAACCGAAATCTCATAGGGACAAAAGGTTCGTGTCATTTAAAGGGGTAGCTTTGCCTATTTAAATTGTGCAAACAAAAGAAATGAAAACCCCCTCCTGGGATGGGAAGTTCTATTAGCAGATATTACCATCCTTGCTTTTATGCCCTCCTGTGTCACAAGCCCTGAACATGTGCTGCGTGTCCTCAGGCATTCATTGGTTAATTTACTTATTCAAAGTAAGGCAACAACAACAAAAAAGCAACAGAAAAACCCCAAACAAATTACATACTGGGGCACAGACAGCATTAAGATGCAGTGCACAGTTTTGATATGTGGGCTTTTAAAAGAAATGTGTTTGGTCTGAAATTGTACATATGTTAAACTCTGGAGAAAGTAAGACGCCTCCTACAGTGGTTCTTCTGGGAATTAAAAAAAAAAAATTCTTTGAAGGTATGACTGTATTGAGAACCAGGGGTATTTGATATATAATATCAGGTACTCCATTGTGGCCAACAACAGTCAGTTTGGACTTGACTTTAATCAATGTTCCAGTAAAGGCACAGGAGAAGGCCAATTTTTCTATCATATGGATATGGTAGAAGTTAATTATATACTTAATTATATCCTTTGGTTTTGAAGTTTTTGTGGAATTACTTCCAAAATAACCTTGTGTAATATATTCCCTTATATTTTAAAGCTGAGTTGTAATGAGTGAAATAATACAAAATAATTAATATTTTAAACTTGGCATTCAGTTGAGTCTTCAAAAGAAACCATTTGACAAGCTATGATGACAATACTTTGGGGTTGACAAGACCTACATTTTGCTAATGAGAATATTAAAGTGTAGAAAGATTAATGAACATATTCATGTCATGAGAGAAGCTGAGGTAGGGTTCCAACCAACTTTTTCTCTTGTCTCAAAGATTAATTAATGAGTTTTTTTCTGTCATGGACTCTGATAGTACCTGTGTATTTTGTGTATCTTAATGTACTTATTAGTTCAGCATCTGTGACATCATAATATTTAACTTTGGTTTGATGACAAGTACTTGTGTTTGAAAGAAATAAATATGAGCTAGAGTAAGAAAATGGTAAATTCACAGTTACTTCCCATTTTATGCTTCCGAATGGAACATTCTTTCCAGAACAATGCTACTACTAATACTAATAAAAACAACCTTAAAGTAAAAAAAAGACTTGTTGCTATTGTAAAAAAAAAAATTGACACAATTTCCTTTGTGATTTATCTTTATTACATAATCATTGCTTCACAAGATTTCCCAAACTTGAGAGCATTAGACTCAAGAAACCCAAAGTAACCTGTAATATTTATTGTATTTAAAGGACTTTCCCATCCAGTTTAGCAGGCATGACAGGTCCATGGCACTTATGGGAAAGCTCTGGTCCATTTGAAGTTATCAATTGACCTACAGAACATTTAGAAACATACCAGTGATTGGTAAGTAAGCTTTTCTTAGGTAGCTATGATTTGGATGGCTGGCATGTGAATGCTAGCATTCCCATGAGAAATACGGGTTACCAGGCAAATTGAGTTTTATTAAACTCTGAACTCTGAGATGAGTACCAACTCTACATGCAAAAAAATAGTTATTTGAGGGAAAACTTTCCTGTCCTAAATTTCTCTCCTACCAATTTATCATAGTAGCAGAAATGACCAGTATTCACAGCCATTTCTTTGGTTTAAGGCTCTCTGTCCAGAAGGTCTCTATTAAAATGCAAATATGTTACTCAGAAAGGGCTACTCATCAATCCATTTGCACTTCAAGAAGGATTAGTTTATCAGATCAGAGGAGAGAAAATAAGACCCCAAGGAACAGGAGATAGAAAGCCTAGTCTGATTGGAAAAGAGGCTGGGTAAAGTATTTTCAACAGGCCCTTTGCTGTCTTGACTATGGGGCCTTTGTGAATTTATCTTCTATTGCTTTAAATACACCCTTGCTGCCATTGAAATTCAACTCTGCCTCAACTGTCCACTTCAATTCTTACCTTTTCTCTGCAGTATTTTTGAGCTACCTAGAAAGAAGTAAGCTCTCCTCCATCTGATTTCCTCACGTTCATTACCTGTATCATTCATTAGTCAAATCTTGTCTTTGGGCTGGTGTGATGGCTCATGCCTGTAATCCCAGCACTTTGGGAAGCAGAGCTGGGAGGATCTCTTGAAGACAGGAGTTCAAGGTTGCTATGAGCTGATTGTGCCACTCCAGCATGGTTGACATAGCGAGACCCTGCCTCTAAAAAAAAAAAAAAAAAAAAAAAAAAAAAAAAAAAGAGACAGGTGCAGTGGCTCATGCCTGTAATCACAGTGCTTTGGGAGGCCGGTGCTGGAGGAGCACTTGAGCCCAGGCGTTTGAGACCAGCCAGGGCAACATAGTGAGACTCTTGGCCCTATTTTTTAAAAATTTAAAAAATGAAAGAAGTAAAAAAGAAAAAAAAAGAAAACAAAAAACCCTTATCTTTGTTGTAGACATTCTTTCATTTGTACGCATCTTATTCACCAACTTTATAGTCAGCTCCCAGAGTGCTCAGGAACCAAGTTAGTGATCTGAGGGACGAGAGAGGCTAACTTGGGTGAGAGCGGGGAGCAGCGACTGCTGCCTGTTCCTGAAGTATCCTGGGTTCTGTCATGATGCTTTTACCTGGATTCTTCCCTTTACCTCTTTCCTTTGGATTAGTGACTTTCTGGCTTTGGTTTTGGTTTTAATGTTCAGGTAGTCCTTAACCCCTTGATCCAGAGGCCACACACACTGTTACTTGTCAAGGCCTGAATCACTGCAGAGCCATTTTGCTAGTAGGGTGGCTGTTCCTTCATTCTGGTAGGCAGGTCTGTGCAATGAATGGATGCAGGTACCAGTACCACTCTGGGAATCACTATACCTCTTGCTCCTTGGTCATATAAAGGGGTATTCTGGCTCTAGCAGGACACTAGGTATCAGGTTCTGGCTTGCAGGTCAATGCTGTGACAGAATCATGTCATTGGAAAATAATCCAACTTCTGGTTAGCAGGTATAGCGACTCAACCAACCCAAGGCCTGGTTTAAAAAAAAAAAAAAAAAGTGAAGATTAGGGACCAGGAGACAGGAAGATCAGTCAGCTGGTTACAAAATTCTGGGATGCAATAAGCTTTGATGGGAAGCCTGTGTTGTTGATGCATTGTTTTTAAAATTTCTTATCTGGGTCATGTAGCCATGGCCCTCTTCAGCTGATTATATAGTAAGCTGTTGATACCTTATACTTCTTGATATTCTGTTAGATCACTCAAGATTGTTTGGTTGCATGCAAGACAATGACTTGGGTAACCTAACTAAAGAGAACATTTAAGGGCTTTGTAAATAAAAAGCTAGGGATAAAATTTTAGATGCAGCTTAATCCAAGACTCCAAATGCCATTAGAACCATGTCTCTCCCATTTTCGCTTCTCCTCTCTTCTGGGTTGACGTTATTCTCAGGCCCAAAGATAAACACCATCAGTGTCTGGCTTAGGTGGTTCTTACAGCACATGGTTGTGTAGCAGAAGGAAAATACTCTTTGTCACTCTCACTCTTCATAGCAATCCCTAGAAAGGGCTCTCATGGGTCTTACTTGGGTCACATAGTTGTCTATGCAGACAGGCCAGCCTGACTTGCAGGTCTACCATTTGCTGAGGACAGTGTTTTCTTTTTATTGACAACCCTGCCAGAGCTGCAGGGAAGAGGGAAGAGGCAGTCTTACAAAGAAACTGATATAGGGAACCAACAAAGTAACAATGTCCAAATCACCCCACAAATGCCTTCACCTTATAGGTACTTAACTAATGTGTGTTGATAATGATGATGAAGTATTTGCAGGAAAAGCAAGACTAGGGATCCAAAGAAGGGGATTCTGGGCATCTGGGGGCACATGAGGGTGTTGCTGGGGGTGTGGGAAAGGTCAAGGGCACTGAAAATGAGAAAAATTTTGCTCCAAAAGGAGGCTGGGAGCTAGGCACCTGTAATCCTATCACTTTGGGAGGCTGAGGTGGGAATTCGAGACCAGCCTGGGCAACCTAGTGAGACCTGTTTCTACAAAAAAACCAACCCAACCCAAACCAAAACAACCAAAAAGAGGCTTGGGTGAGGGATGTTGCTCATAGTGAAGATCCAACCTTTTTAATTTCACACTTTTGCCTGTGGCTGACGCTGACTGACAGGAAAGTATTTGCTGAGCCAAATGACTCTATAAAGATAACATGCTTTCCAGCAATTTCCTTTTTGGGGGGATGGGGTGACATGGCACACTTCCTGGTTTTGATAAATCACCCCAGATAGCAGGAGGCTTTCGTTTGCTTATATG